AACGACAAATGACGATTTTTCTAGGCTGGCACCCTCTCAACACTATTACGCAGCAAGCGAAATCATTTTTAACGAGCTTGCGCAAGGCAAGTGTTTGCCCAAATACTTCATTTTCTCAACCCTTCTGAACTGCAGCAACCTGGTAATTTTTCTTGGCTTCCGTCTTGGGGTAGGTTTGCTAAAGAAGATTGCTTATTTATCATTGTTTACCCGCTATCCCGTTCAGCAACAGTATTCGTGAATGACATCCTGTGTCACTTTAGCATTCTGCACGGTGGCCCTACCGCATGTTGCCTATGACGGAATAAAGCAAGAGACAATAACTCAGAACAAATAATAAAAGGTATGGAGATAGTGGGAAGCCTTGCTGAAATCCCCGTTCCGCCTTGATCCACTTCGCGTGTTAACCATTGATCATAATAATGAAAGTAAGATATTCATTACAACTCATAAACCACTCACAAAACTTCCTCGGAAAGCCCATACGATTAAGAATTTGCTTTGAAGTGGCCCAACTCATCTTATCATACACTTGTTCCATATCAGCTTGTAAGTGCCATAAGCCCCGTGGTGGCAATCGAATTCTGGAATTTGTTCACGATCTTCTGTGCAAGTAAGCAATGATTAGAAATGGACCGCGTAGGGGCGAAGGCCCCTTGCTCCTCGACGATGGAGGGAAGAATCCCCTTGAGCCTCCCAACAAGAATCCTCGCCTCAACCTTATAAGAGGTTTGGGTATTAGAACCACAACCATCTCTTTCCAAGTATGATCAATACTGTCAGTGCGGAAAAACTTCTATACCGCGTTGGTCAAATTCAGGCCCTTTTTTACCGCGGTCGATGAGCTTGTAGCCCCGGGAGGTTACAATAGCTCCATCACCAAAAACGTGCAAACAGAAGCTTCGACGAATGGGGTGGAAGCTCACCCAATCTTGGGAGACTTTTGCGAAGCTTTCCATCCCCTCATCAAACCAAGCAACCTTTAGAAGGTTGAATTGGTTCAGACATAGAGAGGGAGGGTGGCTGGCACGGGATTAGGGCTGCCGTCCAACATGAGTGGCTCCACATCTCCTAGCTGTCTATTATTATAATTATGTTCTTTTCTTTGTTTAGGGTTAGTTTTGTTGTATTTTTCTATCAGAACAGCTATGAGCACCCCCAATTTTCTCTCTTAGAGCTGTATCCGAGGACGAGTGGTAATCTTGCTGTATTTTATTCCGAGTTTGTGATTATGCTCAACTTACCCATCCTTTGCAATCACGCTCCCGTCGTCACCGTCATCGTAGTAGTTCGCCCAAAGACAACAGTTTTGTTGTCTGTTGCAGCCCCCAAACTCTCCTCTTTGTCGTTACCAACCTACAACCCTTCCCCTGCTTTCCTGCCGTAAACCATCTACCTCCCAATCTACTGCCATAACCACCTTTGCCTGCTAACTTGTTGTTGTGAGCCTCTGATACCCTTCTTGTCGTGCCGCAGAATCCCCCCAAACTTTTTGTTGGTTGACGCAAACTCTGTTCCCGACTTCCTGTTGCTTGTTGTCCATCTACCTGCCGCCATCCAGGCTACTCTAACTGCCTATCTTCCTGCTGTTTCCACAAATCCCCCTCCAAACCTCTTGTTGATTGCCGCAATCCTACATTCAACCACTCAGTGTTTGCCGTCGCACCTCCACCCACTTGCGTGCTTGCTGCCAAGCCACCGTCCACCATTCTTGTCCTCACTTTAGAGAGTCGGCTGCATTTTTTTGTTGCTTTATTTCTGTTTTAAGTACCTTTGTTGTAATTCCCTTTGAATTTTCAACAATAATATTCATTCCGTTGCGATTTGGGTTAACTTTGGTATATGATTGATCTTTGTTTAAAATATCAAATTCGACATCTTGATGTGAAGGTGGTGTATGAAATTATGGCGCTTCATTGTCGCCACAACTATTTTAACATGCTTTCGGAATAAGTAAGTTGAACTATCTTTTATAATAACCCTCTTTTTCTTCCAGACTTCAAATTCTCATTAAATGATCCGGTGCAACTATTAGTATCGCTTATTGAACATATCTTTCTTCCCTTGAATCACTTGTCTGCTCCTTTCTAAGTCATGCAAATGATATTTTGTATCATGATACGTCACCAAAAAGCCTTATTTCATAGGATATCCAACATCCATAAGTTAATATTTTTCAAATAAAAGATTGGTAAATTGAGTTTGTAGGAGACTGTAAAATGAATAAAAATATGTAAAGGTGACTAACCTAGAGGCTTCATGGAAAAACTATATTGAAGTGATCATACGATAAATTTGAAAATACGGCTATCGTGTGCACTTTCTTCATAGCCAGCTATCACTAAAGTGAAGCACATGTTGAAGTCATGTGCTGCCATTACAGTTTGTGTGGGTGAGCCACAATGCCTAATATATGCCGCCTTCTTATTATTAGGGACACAAGCATTTACATGCGTGTCATCAATCGCTCCGATGCAGTCCTCTTATCACTCAAAAGTTTATTGATCTTGAAATTTATGAAATTTTCTAATATAAAAAAATAAAATGTAATATTATGCCAACTATCTTTATTGAAGTGAATTTTTGTTCGACCCCTTAATTTGACCTCTTTCAAACATAGATATCAAAAAATCAATTTCACATTATGTTCTCAAGTGACACTTACTCCGAACTTTCTTGGATTCTCCATTAGAAATGACTTAAAAATAACCTGAAAATAAACATACTTCAAAATTATATAAAAATTTCAGGAGTCCTATAGTTCAACAAGAAATGATAAATGATAGATCTTTGAGCATAATTTGCTCAATTGATTATATAAGTAATTAAGTGATTCTCACATAAGTAATTAGGGGAATTTACATACCACATAATTCACATGAATTCACATATCTAATACTTTAACATTCATAGTTACACTCTTACTACTAATAACCTTTTTGTTGTATGTATGTGAATGGTGGAATGTAAGCATTCATGAAAAGGAAGATTTATAAATAAAATTTCGAGATGAAAATGAATCAAAACCAAGGGCTCAGATTAGAAGTTCAGAATGGGTGCCCTTATAACCAACATTCTATGAAAGCAACACAAGTAATTTATCCTACTATCAGAAAATACTTTAATGAAAATGCTCTTTAAAATTGCTTAGGTTCACATCAAATTATATTAACCCATGCAATACTTCATGCAAGTATAAATTATATTAAAGCAATTCAATGAAATACATAGCTTCACATCAAGTACCACTGACCTATGCAATACTCAATGCAATAGTTAATGAATCTATGGAATTAATGCTGCTTTTCAGGATTGATGTATGAATAACTTATGCAATAATGAACATACATATTCTCGTATAAGTTATACTCAATGGAAGCAACACATCAGTTCACTAATTTCATGAGCAGAATTAGGATTACATCCAAACACAACAACCTACACAACACTCATGCCATGACATGCTCCGACAAAACTAGGATTATTTCATATCTGAAAACGACAACCTCCACAAGATTCATGCCAAGAAATGCCTCGACAAAAATAGATTGCTCCATGTCCAAACACACCAACCTCCACAACAAAACTCGGATTCTTGTTATTTTTCGTGAAGAAGGAAAAAAATATCAGAGCAGTCAAGCCAAATGGAGAGACCAAACACAACATCCTCCACATCTGAAAACAACTATCTCCACAACAATCATCAAATTACAAAAAAAAAACATTTCTATGCAAGGACATCATGATAAAAACCTGAATGACCCAAACAAATTTGACAACCGAAACAACTCATAATAATGTGGGATGAAATTAAGGCCAAACTTTGGCAATCGTAACAACTTAGATTAATGAGGCAAAAATAAAGCTAAAAGATGACAACCCAAACAACTCTGACAACTAAAACAACTCAAAACACTGTTTGAAATAATTTACCCTATCCAAGTGGGGTTGGTTGAGAGATTGCAACAAAGAAAAAACTAGAAGAAAAGTGAGCTCGGAACCAAGACAACAAGAAAAAATCTTAGGGGCTTGAAGGGGACCCTTCTTTCTGAAAAATGCCGAAAATCGAGCGTACAAAACCATCATATCGACACAGTTCAAACCGCACCGCATTTTGGAAACCGCACCAATCGAGACCTTAGTGCTTGGTACTAATGTAACACCATCCTTTGGACTTAGAGGCAGTTTCACCCATCCGTTCGAATCCCCAAAGTTTAGCATTGCACCATTTGCAAGCAATATCATTTATACTAGCTTGTATATCCTTGAAGGACATCATCTCCCCCCAATTTATGAAGTCATAGATGATCATGATCCTTAACTAAATTGGTGGCCTCCAACCTGTCTACTTTTCCTAATTATTGAATCTTTTTAATGTCAAGTTGTCTTCAAATTTAACAGCCATTTGAAGATAGATTTGCATTTGATAATCCTAATATATCACTTGAAATATTCCTCAAAAGTCGTGTAGCTTTTTTGCATTTAGAATATCTTTTGAAGAATGCAAGTACCTTTTCTTGTTTTGAATGAAAAGCTATTGTTTTTCCTCGCTTCAACTCAACTGGCCCTTGAGGTTGTGAGACATAGTTTTGTCCAAAAAAGACATGGAAAGGATTGTCTAGTTAAATTAATAGGATTAATGAACTTGTGAGCAGGAACCATTCATCTAATTTTTGTGGGATGGTATGTACTATGGATGATGATTACTGAACCTGAGGTGGGTGATTTGAATGCCCATATGCAAACAGAAATTATCCTTCAGTGATGATCTGCTGGGTACATGTGGAAGGACTTTACAATGATTTTGGGACTCATAGTGGCTAAAATTTGATTTTCGGCTCATGGTGCCTTGAAACAAATTAGTGGTTTTGATTTACTGGATGTTGAATCTGACTGTTTTTTTTTCCGCTATTAACTTTACTTAGATGCCAAGCATTCATATTCTATTAAATTCTTTTGTTATTGGACTTCAGTTTAATTGTCTTGTATTACCCGTGCAGCTACTTGGCAAAGATAATAACTCCTGAAGGCTCTAAGGATGTCCGTGTTGGGCAACCCATTGCAATAACGGTATAATTTCATAATAAATTGATTTCTTGCGGTATTATTTATCCTACCTTGCTCATCTATAAATTCATTTCATTTTCTTTGTTGATCACTGTTGTTGGGCTCGTTTTCTAGGTTGAAGATCTAGATGAAATTAAAGATATATCTGCAGATGCACTAAGTGGTGTTGTTAAGGCTAGAGAGGAAAAACCAGTCCAGCATGTGGAATCTAATGAACAGGATGATAACCCTGTTCATCAAAGAAATATCAGCAGATTTAGCCCTGCAGCGAAGTTGCTCATTGCAGAGCATGGAATAGATGTATCTTCTTTGAAGGCATCGGGTCCTCGGGGCACTCTCTTGAAAGGTGATGTATTGGCCTTAATCAAAAGCAGAGTTGGATCTCAACAAATAAGTCCATCTTACAAAAATAGTTCGACATCAGCACATTCTGCCCAACAAACCACAGCTTCATCATCTTCATCGAAGAAAACCCCTTTACAAGTCTCTGATGCCTATGTAGACTTGCAAAATAGCCAAATACGTAAAGTATGTTTTTTTTTTCTCTGCATGCTTCTAAGGTATCATACATTTGTAGAATATCTGGAAAACAGGCATATAATTTCCTATTAATTACTTTAAGTTTAGTTCATAGGCTTGGAAGATTTGAGATATTTATTTTGAATACTGTTTTATATTCAAATTGATTTTTACAAAGGTATGTTTATATGATAGCACTTGTGTTTCAATCTGCCACAAATTTTGTTTTTTTTCATATTTATGCTATAGTTTCACGTCAAGTGCTTCTTAAGAGAATGCAAGAGAAGATTAGATGTCATCTTTAATTTAATTTTCAAAATTTTCTTATTTTTATGACTAATTATTTGTTTTGTCTGTATTTAGCTGTATTGATCTTGTCAGTCTCACTGGATAGATAGGAACAGGTTCGTCCAAATAAGTTCTTTAGATTGTGAAGTAGTGCAAGTTTAGCTCTGAATTTACCATCTTTGTTCTTTTTCAACTATTCTGATCAGTTTGTATGCTCCAGTAGAAGTACTGCAATTGAATTAATAAAATACTTAAATATATTGATTGATGGGCTTTGTCAGTGGCATGGTTGTTTCTTATCAGACCCATCTTTATTTCTCTTCCTAAGATATTAGTATTGTTTACTGTGGAACCACTTTTCCCAATAGGTGATTGTAAATTATTGCATGTGTGAGAAATCATAAAAATATAGTTCCATCCACCACAAACTTGCAGTGCATAAAATGTGTATTTATTTTTTTGCCTTTTGATCCAATTTTTATTAACACTACCAGATTTTTTTTTTATTTGCGATTGCTTTCATACTGAACATCACTAAACCTTCTTTTTGTAAGAATTTAATTCCTTAATGGGATTTCACTCCTACCGGCACCTTTTTAATTTGCCAATTAGAAGGCTACTAACAGTTGTCACCCACCAGCAATTCCTGAATTATAATCTTTTGGAATTTTTGTTTGTATATATATCTACATTGATGACGGTACTCAATACAATACAAACATCTTGCTTTTTCCATTTCTTTGTCTTTCATACCTTGTTAGGCCTCAAAGGAAGGGCATTTTGCTTTCCAACTGTAATGTTCTTGATTGAAAGTCTTATTAACTATTTTAGTCTACCTACTTTTCAACCGTATGCCTTAGTGTTCTTATTTAAGGAACTCAGGAATCACCTTAACCATATAGTAAATAATTTCTGATTATATTTGAGATCTTTGCCATATGCTTTAATTTGCAAGCACTGATTGACTCTATGTATCCTCTGAAATTAGTTCCAATAAAAGCTGAAAGACCTTTTTTCTGCAGTTTTATGTGCTAGCTCATTTTGTATGATCATTATGTTATTTAAGTTGAAGCTTGACATAAAACCACCCCATACCCTCCCTCCTCCCCCTCTCCCTCCCTTTCAACCCCACATGACTTTATGTCTCCCACTTGGCCTCGCAAACCCATACTATGTTGTTACTCCCACAAAATTCTATAGCTGCTCGTATATATATCTTACGATTTTTCTGTTTATGCACTAAAAATTTGTGCACTGGCCTCTCACTAGGATGTTTTTATTGTATTATGGGTCAAATTCTTAGAAAGCAGATTGGATTGCGAATAAGACAACACATTGCATGCATTTTAGGATTTGGTTTGAGATGATTTCCCGTAGGTGCTAGCCTTTATGGTTAATTATTTATCCTGATAACTAAAGAGAACATTAACATAAGACATGTAGTGTGGATGTTAATTGCTTAGTGTGTAGTAGCAGCAGTTGAATTATAGATTAAGAAAATTTATCACAATTAGCTTTAAAGCGGAAGGTGTGTGTAATGATGATGAACCTACTCAAGATCTATGATTTTGTCGTCTTGAGTTATCATGGACTCTAATCTACTTAGGATGAGATAGTTCATCCTACTTGATCAAAAGATCTTTGTTGTTATACATGGGTTGCATCGTTCAAGTAGATTTTGTAGACTTAGGGTAGATGTTTGTTTAAAAGGAACCTTTAAGTCAATCATAGCTGATAGAGGGTTTCCTACCTTATTAAATATATTATAAATTCATAGCTAAATGAATAAAGCTATTAGGGAATATACGGGCTATAGTCGCCACGTAATATGATGGTGCCGTTGAGTAACAAATCACTTCGTAAGAGGGCTCTAGTCATAACCATTTTTTATAGTGCTATTGTGGGAGAAAATTATGTGGATGGAGGACACGAGCCATATCCTTATTGGCTTGAGAACTTTTAAGAGTGATTATTAGCATATAATTATATAAGACATTGACTCTCTTTCTGAGGCTATTTTAATATTAGATTTATCATCATCTATAAATTATGTGTGTGTGTGAAGGTTGGGAGCATTTTAAAAATATAACCCCCTATGGCCGAGGTTTGCTTTCAACACAATCATCATTTGGGTAAACATTATATTATTTGGATTTGTAATTTGAATACTTTAATTTTAGAAGGGAACCAATTTAGTTATAATGTGCAATGAACATGCTCATTATAGGAGTATTTGATAGATTGATTTGAACATTGTCAACTATATCTCTTACTTGCAGAGAATCAGATTTGTAATATGCATTATTGGTTTTGCATTGACATTCTTAATTCTTTATATTACAGATTATGCCAACTCTACTTTGTTCATAGAGAATCATGTCTGTGATCTTGCAGATAGGTTAAATTAGCTTGACATTCTTCACGTTATAGAACTTGTCAACTTTACTTCCATTTGTAGATTCTTAGGCTTGTGAATATAACATCATAATTTTTTCTTATAGATTTAAAATAAATTTTCTATAAATAATACTTTGACCAAATGTAAACATTTTGTCATTTTAAGCTTATCGTGCATGTGTTTATCTTATGCTTCAAGTTTTTCAATTTTAATCTCCGTAGATAGGAACAAACTTATTAAGTGGGATTTATGATGCCCTATGGACAAGGCAATCTGCTCGAAAGCGCACGACTCGATGGGTTTGAGTTTTATTTAAAAAAAGAGTTCGTATTTTGAAAATAATAAGTCTTTCAAAAGATTTACATTCTTCTTGAAGCTAGAGTAATTTAAGTTTAAAGCTTTTTGCCCCCTGCAACATTTTTTAAATAGTATATTTGAGTTTTCAGTGTGTTGGTCAGAGCAATTGTAGACATGTTTAAATTTCAAAGACTTGAGTATAATTTAGAGAACTTAGACGCCTTTCGCGATAACTTTCATGCCTATTGAGATGATATGTTTGAGTTAAAGAGTCCCGCTTGAAGCACCTATAATACTTGAAATTTTCTAAATTTTATTATTTACATGAATATTTTAATGCGGGTAAAGCTTCATTTTGGATTTTTCATTAAACACATTTTGTTTGAATGTATATATGTGTTGTAGATCTGGTGGCTTGCTTGTAGATTAGATACTTTTTTATCTGTCATTAATTTCTTAAAGAGGAGGGCTTTGTCCACACATGACTTATTTTATTTGAGTAGACATTACAAGCAATTTTTTTTTCTTGCCAGTAGAAGGACCATTTAATTCATTTTTGTTTAATTTCAAGTTCAGTTTCTTGTGTTATGATAAATTCAAGTGTAAGGTAGTTCTGCCCATCACTTTCGAGTAATTCTTTAAGTACTCTATAAGATTATTTAAAGTCCAATTTCATGTTTGGTTTCATTTAATTAAATGCAATTTGCAAGACACTTGAATGCTCAATTTTGTTCCTATTTTTGTAACTTTAGATTCACAAGGTTCATTTTGAGTTTTTTGTCTTATTAAACTCTTTAATAATATTTTAAAAACTAAAAAGATGCGTGAGTGAAGGAAGAGTATTTTGGACCCTATTTTTAAGAATAAAGGGAATGCATAGGAGTGTGCAAATTATAGAGGAATCAAGTTGATGTGTCAAACTTCAAAATTATGGGAAAGGTTAATTGAACATCGGTTAAGATGTTTTACAAAGATTTCTCCTAATCAATTTGGATTTATACTGAGCATGTCTACTATGGAAACTATACACTTCTTGAGAGGTTTAATGGAGAAGTACGAGAGAATAAGGAGGATTTGCATATGATTTTTATTGATTTAGAAAAAGCTTACGATAAGATTCCAAGAGATTTCCTTTGGGGAGTTCTAGAAAAGAAAGGTGTTGATATGACTTATATTCAAGCCATTAAAGATATGTATACTAGAGTTGTTACTTGTGTTCGGTGACCAAATATTTTCCTATTTCAGTTTTATTACATCAGAGATCTGCTTTAAGCCCATATCTTTTTGCTTTAGTTATGGATGCTCTTAGTGGACATTTACAGGAGGATATACTTTGGTGTATGCTTTTTATTGATGATATCCTTCTTCTGGACAAAACTAAAGAAAAACTCAGGAAAATTTTGAATTATAGAGGTCTACATTAGAGTCTAAAGGCCATTGTTTGAGGAGAACTAAAACTGAATAGATGAAATGCAATTTTAGTAGTGGTAGCTCTAGTGTCAGAGTTGTAACTATGAGTGATCTATTATTAAAAGATGTGAATGTTTTAGATATCTCGGGTATATTGTTCATAGTGATGGTGATACAGATGGAGATGTTATTAGTAGAATTCAAGTTGGTTGGTTGAAGTGGAGGAATGCTTCAGGCTTATTGTGTGATAGAAAGGTACCGGGTACCGCTAAGACTGAAAGGGGAACATTTTATAAGATGGTGGTGAGACCTGCAATGCTCTATGGCACTGAATGTTGGCCTTTAAAAGAGAATCATTAAACTAAGTTTAGTGTTGCCGAGATGAGAATGCTTAGGTGGATGAGTTGCTTTAAACTTAGAGACAAAATGCGAAATGAATATATCTGTGATAGGGTTGGTGTAGCTCCAGTGGCTGACAAAATTAGAGAGAGGTATCTTATATAGTTTGGTCACATTAAACGTCGACCATCTGATGATTCAGTTAGGAAAGTAGATGTTTTAGATTCGACCCATGTTAATAAAGGTAGAGTTAGACCTAGAAAGACTTGATTATATC